CGTTCCTTCAACGTTTTCTTTCTCTGACAGCTTTGTGATTATAAATGTTGGCATTTCTACTTCAAGAGCTTCTTGCCAACTTCCGTGCCCTTTTTTAGGAGACATACTATATTACGATGAGGATGATTACTACTATGTTGTCGACCGAGTGAAGGATCTCATAAAAGTCAATGGAATGCAAGTTTCACCTTCTGAATTGGTTAGGAATTTTCTAAAACCAGTTCTCTTATGAATAAATTTATTTCTATGTTAAAGGCACAATTCACGATAGTTGGAGAAACTGGTTTCGATGAAATTATGTAAGTTGTGGTGCAAAGTATTGCGAAGGTTACGAAGAAGCAGGGAATCGAAAGACTTCAAGAAAAAAGTTCTTGAAGGGACAAGGAGGGGGTTGTACGAAACTATGTCGACAATAGTGGCATTGAATGGATATTTGGACGAGCTGTCAATTGTGTGCAATTACGTAGAGCTGGCTACAATAAGCAACAAATGCCGTAGATGTTTTCCACTGTCGCTATGGGTCGATGAGCATGTATTCTCCATTGTACGGCCAGCTCCAATGCGGTCTCTTTGAAAATTTTGAAACACGGCCACTCCTGGGTGTGGCATGCAGCGGATCCCTTCTCTGAGGCCTTACTTCGCCCGACGTTTTTCGATCTAACACGTATGACATTCAGTGGTCCACAGTCTCTTTCTAGGGGATGTCTCGGAAACAGTTTTTTCCTGAGTTGTGCCTTGGAAACGCTTTCGTATACTCTTTTCGTGAAATCATACTTGAGCGTTGAATAAAATGTACTGGTTTTCAAGGAGGACATTATTCTAACGGATCCTTGGGTTCGAGAAGTGGCAGTGATCGGTATCGAACACCCAAAAAGTGGCCAAGTACCGAAGGCATTTGTGGTACTCGAAGAAGGTGTGAATCAGGATGTTGCAAAAAACCGTATTATTTCAATCGTTAAAGGTTTGCAATGTTTTTGCAAAATCTGTTTTACTTCAGAGTATATCTGAATATTTCCAGCTAAGCTCACGCCCTACAAACAGCTTCGTGGTGGGATTGAGATTGTGGAGATGTTGCCGAAAACGAGCAGTGGAAAAATCAAGCGTTGTGAACTTCGAGCTCCGTTGAAGTAGCACAAAATAAGAAAAAATATTCGGAAACGGATATACTCACTCATTGTCTATTCTGTCTTCTTATTTCAAGGTTGCGGCAAACGCATTTAATCATTTTCATCTCCATCAAGTCATTTTCACGTAGTGGTTTCCTTGTGATTGTGTTGAAACAATTTTAAAGAAGTTAGGTATTTTTCCTTGAAGACTTATAATGCTTGCCAAGCTAACGTTTCTATCATTCGCCTTCGTCAAAGCCTCGGACGAGAATTATTTTGAACCTTAATCGTCAAAAGAATCAGTTTTCTTCTAAAGAGGAGTTCCAGTCTCTCTTTGATTTGTTTTT